CTATATTTAAAATGTTTATTTGTATGCGGCAAAATTAGAAATGGTGCAAGAAATTGAAGGAACTAATAAAAAACGCTATATGTGAAATTTTCTATAAATGCTTCTGCAAATGTAAAACTTGAAATTCAATATATTTCATCTCATTTTTGGACACTAAGCAATGAGAACGATTTAATAGCTAAGAACGCGAGATCTGAATTCCCAGTACTGAACTTTAAAATTTTTGTCACCGGAGGCTACGGGAAATCTACATTTCAATGATATACCCAAGAAACCAATATACGAAAATTCTAATTTTTAGTCTGATTGGATACGTTTCGAATACCATTCTGACCTCAATAACTATGAACAAATAGTGGTTCTTAACTTTGTTTATTTGCACGAATTTGCAAAGCCGAAAGAATGTTTTAATTTATTTTCTATTATAAATTTTTACAACGGTAATTTTGATATGTATAGGGTCCCTAAATAGGTTTTTGTTTCTTTTTTTATTTGTAATAAAAACAATTTTGCCCGTTATCACACCAATTTGCTTTTATTTCCCAATGACGCAGGTAATCTTGGCGTATAAGGGCATTGAGTGTTCGTGATTTATTGGACAAAGCCAATGCTTCAACATAAGCTCAAAATAAAAAGCCCAATTAAGTTATATCGTACAATTTTTATGGCAAGCTCAAGTAGGCATTTTCGAAGACTGCGACCACTTTTCTACGAATAAATTTATTTGGTCACGAAACGTATGGCCTTTTGCACCATCTAACTTTTATTACAAAATCCATATATTGTTTTAGCCTTCTCCAGTGACAATAACTGCAATGCCATTTTCATTTCCAAAAATTACGTTATCAACCCATAAACAACATCCAAAAGTTATTTTTATATACGTAAAAGCCGGTTGAATACAGTTTAACGCGGCCGGCAGCTGCAATAAGTTAGAGGAGCGGAAGTCAGGGAAGGAACGGTTAGAAGAAAACTACCCGGAAGCCTGACAGTGTACAGACCAGAAATTTGCACGTAATTTACCCCATCCCATTTACAAGCACGCTTTAAGTTCCCTCGACAACATGTGAATTGGACTAGAGATCAGTGAACGGTAGTACTATTCTCTGACAAATGCACTACGTGTCTTCATTGTAACGACCGACGGGCAAGAATCGACCAAAGACCCGGTGAGCGTTTCCCACAATACTGCATCTCTGAAAATGTCTTATATTACGGTGGTTCATGCTTGGTTGAGGAAGCGCGAATTGAACTTGTGTTCATCACAGGGTCCAATACCAACCACCAATTAACCAGATTGACGTCCCTGCGATACATCGAAGGAGTCTTGGAAGAATATGTAGTGCCTTTTTTTAGGATTTATCAGCGAAAATCTCATTTTCATGCATGGCAACGTCAAACCGCTGTTGTAGTGCGCCAGTACTTGGACGAAATTGATGTGCCGGTTGTGTCGTGGCCTACTCAACTTCCAGATCTCAATCTCTTTAAACGCCTATGGGACGAGCTGAAAAAACGAGTACGAGAAAGAGTCTCGGAGTGTTGCGAACCTCAATTAAAAAGTATAGAGGTATCGTAGGATTTAGTAAAAAAGTGTATTTATTTGATGAAAAATCAACTGGAAATACTTATTCAAGGGGCTCGTATTAATAAATGTTTTTTCTGATTTTATGGTTTTATTGTCCTTTTATATCTGCCAGGTATTTCTACTGTTTTAGTGGGAGTGTAGTGATTTTGAAGGTTAAGGGCGAACATTATGTGTTTCTCAAAAACCTAATTATGTATACTTTATTTGAATTTAAGTTATGTTTGCCACCTAAATTTAATTTAATAAATATTTAAGTTCGAAGCGAATACGCAGCGGGAGTGCGATTTTTTTGCTCTCTTGTGGAATCCGCCTCTAGTAAATATTTCAAGATATTACAACTGAAATAATAAAATTCTTGGATATAGGTGAAATGTATTCAGTATAGTCGAACGTAGAATTGAGTCAAAATATTTTAAAAGTTGATAAATATACTTAGGTTTATGAGATTACAAGTATGGGGTCAGCTAGGGATTTTGAATCAAGTCAACACTCTTGACTACGAGTTATCTTCAATACCCACTGTTATAAGTCAGGAATATTTGGCAATTTCTCAGCAAGTTACTCCACGTACTGTACGGTTGTCAGTAAACTAATAGTCTACCTTAGTTCATAGCCGCGCACCCCTAATTAATTATGATTTTTAGCTCTATAACGTCTAAAAGTAAGCATTACAAATTCCACACATACATATGTATATAAGTCTAAACTGAAAATGGGATAAATACGCCGGTAAACTGCAGAAACAATAAAAATTTAGCATTTATAGTAAATGGGTTTTAAAAGTATTATGCAGTTATATTTTAAAATAACATAGAAACTTCATCTATTCTATCTAAATATGGTTCCAGCAAAGCCGCGAATATTTTTTCTTTATATGTAACATATTTTCGATGTTGTTTGCGTAAGCTCTTCAATAAAAGACATGCAATAAAAACAACACAGATTTAACATCTGCGTGAATATTGATCATCTAGCCTTAAAGCATGTGTTCAGTATTTGTTTCATATATTAAGTGCATTTGTATTTTACTCGTACTTTTCTATCATTTCTTAAGTACCTTATTAAGTATATCATAACATATAGTAAATTCCCCCAAATATACACTACATATGAAGTGTGACAACAGTCGTGGTAGACACACTAAATCAACTAAATACGGGAAGGAGAGAAAATTGTCCTATTTAAGATAGAAACCACCTATTCCAATGGTTTACTGTAAATAAGTTAAATTGACAACATTCAGTTTAAACAAAAAGGTGGTGATATTATATTCAACACCGTTTATCTTTAATGCACTAAATTAAGGGATACTCGAAAGACTTCTGAATTATCATAATAACAGATGGGTTAATAATTCTCGAAACTGACACATAGATGCCGCCTCTGAGAAAAATCCTATATTATTTGCAGGAAGTGCGAAACCTCCAGAGAAACTTATCAAAATTTAACTGGAAAACAATTTTTTTAAAGGTTTTTCTCGCAGTGAAACTCTGTGTCACAAGTTTATAGCTACAAAGGCACAATCGTATAAACCGAAGTGCGAAATTTTACTCTGTCCACCGTATTCTCCAAATATATAGTTTATATAATCAGATCAGTACAGAAATTGAAGCGCATTTTCAAAGTCTTGACAGATTCTATAAAAAACGCATCAAAATGTTAGAAAAGCATCGATTGTATCCCTCTTGAAGGGGAATAGATCGAATTTTACAACAAAAAAGTCGTGTTGGTTTTTGCGTAGTTCCGGAAGTTGTTGACCCATTTATCACAGTATAAACGTTAAGTTGCCATCATCATTGTGTACGTTTATCTGTCCAAGTTCCATCAAGACTAACGATAAAGAGTCGTTACATTAATTAGATGTTCTATTTCTGCATATGGGCAGGATAAAAAACATGAAAAATGCAAACTTAATTTATAGTCTATGTGTATTTAAAGTACGAAGTGTAAAACATTGCTAAATTTATTCATTTTATAATCTAGAAATTGTACATTGCGCCACACTTTAGACACGCGAAACGTGATTCTTTTATATTTCAATTTACTACTTTCTCGTATATGTGCTCATCTCTATCAATTAAATACGAGAAATGAGTACATATATCCGTACTAAGAGAACTTCCATTTACATTTCTTTTCATTATCTTCGACACATGCCTGGTAAGTACGTGATAATTACTGAAGAAATTTACTGTAGGAACTAAGACTGTTGCTTGCTAACAAGTCTTTTTAATATCAAATCCGATTAGTAATTAAGTTTTTTTATTTATGTTTCTTTAGCGATATATAAAAGAATTCAATGAATATTTACACATACAAGGACAAAGACGCTTAAGCGATAGCTGGGACCGGTCTGCAGCTGTCGACGCTAATTTTCGCGCTTGGGTTTGTAACTGTCTATGTCGAGTAACGAACTTTGCACAACATATATAGTTTTTGTCGGTGTCGAATGACAGCCCATTTGACGGTAAAATTGATGTCGAATGGCATATTTAAAGAGAAAATAAAGCAATATATCATTACGAAACGCATGTATTTGTGACAATTAATAAATATATAAAGACTACTTAATTTTATTAATTAGGGAAATTCCAAAATGTTGGCAAAAGCAAATAATTGGTTCAGATAGCTTCTTTTCCGGTGCCATAATATAAAAGGGTATTATAAAAAACAAATTAACAAAAAAATGTATGGAAAATATTAAAAAAAGAGTTGAAGCGTTACCAAAAAATAAATAAAAAAGAAAAGTTGAAATTAAAAATAAATTATTTGGATTATTGGTTTACTTATTTGATTATTTACTTTCCTTTCTCTTTTTTTCATTTACATGCATTTATGTTGTTATTCATCCACCTCGACTAAATCCTAAGCTAAAAAGCGGTCCACTCATATAAATTCACAAAACAACACTATCGAAAAAAAATTCATGGGTCAACGTCAACAGGCATAAACCGGCCCCTTAATAACTTCAAAAAGCTAAACCATGAATAACATTAGACAGAAAAATTTTTTAAATACTTCAATCTTCCCATCTTCGTTGATAAAGGTGCTTAAATAACGAGCCTGTAGCAGATCTTACTAATTAAAGCACAAAATGACTAGAGAATTATTTTAGCACAAATTAATATAAGTAATGACCATTTACTAAAAGACATCGAAACTTTTCGGCTTGGTTTGCTTTTAATGAATTCTAAACGAGTGGTGATGTACAACAATCTAAAGAAAGTTAAGAAAGTAGAAGTGTTACACAAAACGATAATGAGTATTGTTATTGTTTAATGTAAGATATGTTGCGAAATGTAAATATGTAATGATGAGGACGGTGTTAGTATCATAAAAAAAAGAAACAGTGGAGGAGTTAGTATCATAATAATTATGTTAAAAAAGGCATTAAAAACATTTTTCAGTGCAATACCTCCCGAATCCGCTGGCGATCTGTCTTTTTTACGCTTTTTCTTTTTCGACACAAAGCCGTAATTATCTCTCGCACTCCAATTTGGATATAATTGCATGTGTAGTGCACGAGCTTGTTTTGCTAACTCGTAGTACTTGGCTTGCTGTTCACGACTCAGTGAATGCCACTATATATATTATAAAAAGAGGCTTTTTTGGTTGTAATTGTCAAATTTGTAAAATAATAGCAAAAAATAAAAATCACACCCTAACGTGCAAAACTAATCATTAGTAACAATAAATGGGGCTATTATCTTGATTTCTAAAGATATACATAGCGCGAATATCGCGGCGACTGCTTTGCTTTGTAAGTCTACAAAATATTTCGCAGAAATCTAAAAAACGACCGGAGAGTTTCCAATCATTTTAAGAACAAACTGAGGATATATGCGGTGCAGAGAATTTACTTAAGTGGTTTAGAATAACTAAACTGACTTTTGTCCTATCTAAAAATATCACCTAATGTAATCTATCTTAAATATAATTTTTAATTTATATACAATATCAGAATTGGAAAATTTTTGCACGTTAGTGTATGAATATAAACACAATCATATGCAGACTGATATCTTATTCATGTCAAGTCAACGGGTGAGACATTGCTAAATAAAGGAAATTTAAACCAATCAAATTTTTATCGCCGCCAGTTGATTTTTTCAAGCAGGAAGAATATCGTGTAAAACAGAGACGTATGCACAATTCCTCGAGAGGAATAAAAAATAATATAATAATGCATCTTTTTTGACCATTGTAACTCAGAATCTTTCATACGAGATCGGTAACATGTTTTTTATTTGATTACCAATAACAAGTATGATGGATACTGAAATGCAAATAGTTGTTGAATGTATTGAATAAGATAGTGGCAAAGGGAAAAAATAAGGAGACTTACCCTTCTTCCAAGGATTTGATTAATAGCTGCCGACTCTTTTAGAGTGCACTCGGCGACAACTTTGGCACGCATCTCTTTCATATACAACATGAAAGCATTTAATGGCTTTTTGATATGTGGCTTTTTCTTTTCACTTGAGTTATCCCTGCAATTATCGGTTCCCTGTATATTTTTACTCTCAAGATTCCTGTGGAACAGACAGAAAAATAATGTTCAAACGCATTGAATAAAATATCAGATCTGCTTCTCATAGTTTTCAAAGAAATCTAAGACGATACGTAAACCCATGAACGGCAAGTCGGTTGTAATTCTCAAAAGCCGTAAATTATGATTTTAAATGTGTGGCTTGAGGAATATACAAACTAAATTGATTTCTTCTAGCTGATGGAAAATATTCTGACGCTCGTTTATGTGAACGACGTTGTTTAAATTTGTCTAAGTTAATTTAGCAAGTCCAAGCTCTTATTATTTTTCGCTTATTATAATCTCAAAACAATGCAAAAAATTTTTTGTCATTAAAGGCAACCATGTTCAAGTTATCATTTTTGACCAACTTGCATGATAAAATACTGAAACACTCTTATCAAATAAAAGCTTATTTCTTATGAGAACGTTTTTGGTGCACAAGACAATCCAATCCCAACCAAATTTTCCCCATTCATTTAGTATTTCCAAATATTACTTTTTATTAATTTTTATCGATAAATATTCAAAAAATATTGAATAGTTTTTATAACAACTTTATAACAATTTTTTTCGATGTGTTGTCTTAGGATGAATGATCTTACATTGCATCAAATTTCATCAAAATATTGCGAAAATTGTGACAATACATGGACAGATATCAAATAAACAAGCCAAATGATGCTGCATCAATTCAGAAAATAATTCTGAGTCGTTTTCAGCCTGTTCGATTCATTAGATGAATGGGCACCTACCACAAGTGGTGTGGGGAATAATAATGAAGACACCAAAATATATAAATTCATTTACATAAAAAAGAACAAAACGAATTATATTTTTACATTTTCTTCAATTTACTGCTGATACTGAGATCGAAGGGCCCGTCTGAATATGTTAAAGGGTTAGTAGTAACATTTGCTGCTGTACGTGACGAATTGGTGATTGCCTCATTCGTGCTGTTGTCACTTTGTGAAACTATCGTTGCTTTGACGGACGCGGTTGCCGCATTAATAACAGCGGCGGCAGTTAATGCATTAAATCGCGCCGTAAACATTTCGTTGAGGGCTCGTTCCTGTAGAGCAGCTACAGCTGCAGCTGTTGATGAAGCGTTTGAAGTAGTGGTATGCGTTCTATACAGATGCGCGTGTTGGCTATTGCTGTTTGTATTTTGTTGGTCAGTTGGTGTGATTGGTGCTGAAAATATGGGTAGCAACTCCAATGGTGGAGTCGATGTCGACGTTGAAATAAGCGATGAGTCATTCGATTTACTGCACATTTTAGTAGCGGATGCTTGTGGAACGGTTAGTTGCGGTGCGATTCTTAGTTCATCGTTGGCATCAGGGTCTTTTTTACAAGACCTTTCATTGGTGTCACGTCTTGACAAATTGTCAAGTGTATGCAAAGGCAGATTAGTGATAGAAGCGTGATTGGATTGAATAGCATAACCAGGAAAAGGATCCATCTGGAACTGTTTGGCAGAGGTTCGATTGCTTAAAGCAGTGAGAAACGAACTAGCTCCGGCATCTGACATTAGTTTGTTTACACTTTGTATGTCGTCAACTGAGTGGTAAGCTGTGGGTGAGCTTTGCGACATTATATGTTGCGCTTGATTTGGCAGCGCAACAGGGGAGGTTAATGCTTGTTCTCGGTTTTCTTTAATCACTGCTGTTTTATAAAGACCACCTTTTTGATTAATGGCGGCGCATTCCAACAAAATCTCGGCGGCCGTCACGGCTCCTTCGTTTAGATGCAATCCTAAATTTTTCGGATGCCAGATGCAAGTCGAAGATTCTATCATTATTTCTTTGTCGTCGGTTTTGTTACAATTTTCACCATTTCCGCCTATCTTTGGTATATCCTGCCCTTTCTCAGACTTATGTTCCAAACATTCACTTCGTTCAACTTTCAAAATAATTTGTTCACTATCGCGCTCGTGTGCAAAAACGGGTTTTAACGGCATAAGTTCAGCGGCAGTGGTCAACGCCAAGTCCACTAATTCACGCACAACTTTTGAAAATTTTGCCGATTCTAGTTCTAAGGTAGTGTCTTCTTCATAGCGTCGTAGCCCTCTTAGATAAATTTGTCGAGCATTTTCGCACTGTTTGGTAAGCAATTTTATATTGCTTATAATAGACTGAACGAGAATTTGCTGATTTTTTGCCAATATGTGAGGTTTTTTATATTGATTACATTCATCACCGCAGTTTACACTATTTTCTGAACTCTGAGAGAAGGTATCAAGAAAGAGTTGACGCATATCTTGATTAAGTGCCAGGTATTTTTCCATTAGTTGTTCAGCTTTGAAGAGCGCTTTCAGTTGAGCCTGCCACAAATGCAACGGGTTCATGCTGGTAGGAGGTGAAGGAGTTTCATTAGATAATGAAGAACTAGAGCGTAAGGATGCAATGGGCGAACTACAATTTAGTATCGGACCGCCATTATCACTAAATTGGGAAAAACGATCTGTATGTACTTGCAAATTTACTGCTTTGTTGAGTGTAGATTCCATAGTTGACGGTAACTCAGCAGTGGACCTAGTAAAATCCATTATATGGAGAGATACGTCGGCAGGTTTTGCATGAAGGGGTACATTTGGAGTAGCGGTTGTTGTCGTTGTATTAGCTGCTGTCAGTTGGGAGTAGAGAACTTGTGGCGCTATAAAAAAAGCGGGTGATACAGGTGACTCCATTTCCGAATCCTTAGAGGTACAATTCTTTTCCTTGTTGCGATGTTTTATAATTTCAAATAATAATGATGATTGCTTTAAATCTGCTTTCAGTCGTAGCGACCGTTTAGCGATTTTTTCTAAATGGCGAGTTTGGGACGATAATGAAAGATAATTTCCGTTGTTATTTTTTGCCGCAGCGTAAGAAGCCAAACGATGAAGCAAGCTTCGGCCTTTCGTACGAAAAATTTGTGGGGTTCGTGGAATACTAACGGGGTAGATAATATTTGTTGATGTTTTATCATGTGATTGTCTCCTATTGTGCTTCACAATATCTTCTTTAATTTGTAATGCTTTTAATTTATAATCTGAGTTCTGACTCAACTCATCATTTGGTTCACTGGCAACATGGCGAGTGCGGTCATCGGTGGTGTCAGAAGCCAAAGACGCAACAGCGGCAGGAGCAACGAAAGTGCCTGGCGTTTGCAAAATACTGTGGTCATCGTCCCCTGGATAAGATAGGGAAGGTGATAACAATGGCTTTATGCGCTTGGTTTTGAAATTCGTCAAATCAGTCAGACTAGATGATGAGGACGATGAAGGTGAACCCAGTGAGGATAGTGATGATTGGGACATCGTAGGCGAACAAACCGGCGTTGGTGATATTGACGGCACTGGAAAGTAACCTGAAAAATCTGTTCCTAATCCATGGCCGGGAGGTGATAAATATTTGCGTGCACTAACCGCTACAGTCGTACTACTAGATGTAAGCACACAACTGTTGCTTACAGAACCGAAGGGGCCAACAGAATTGCTAACTGTACCATTAGTGAAAACGTGAGTGACAGTGTTATTATTCACTAAAGATGTCGATGGCGGCAACGGAAGTAGAAAATCAGTATGGCCAGAAAAATATGATGATGCGGGTTGTGACATTACCGTCGTAATTGCTGCTTCCGCTGCTGCTACCGTTGAAGTAAGTGTAGTTTGCATTAAGTTTTGCATTCCGCTGTAAAGTTGCTCACTCTCTGGGCTATATTCAGTTCTTGATTCAGTCATTTGAACGATAATTACCGGCGGGATCGTATGTTAAATTAATTTTTGTAGACTTGACTTTTTTACATATTGCTCAAGAGCCCACGCCTTAAAGTATAGAAGTTTTACAATTTACAATTTATTTAACCATAAGACGAATATTTCATGGCATTAAAAAATTATTTAAAACTTTATTACAGAAACTTTTTTCTTCCTGGCTTATCTTGCGTAGATAATGATTAATATTGCTATGCTGCTCGCAATTCTAAACTACGGCGTTGGATAAAATAATAAATTTTATTTTATAAAGTTTTATGTTGCTCTTTCGCTCTTTAACCCTCGTTCTGTTAATCGTTTAAAGCACGAAACGTTTTCTCATAATAATTTGTCTGCAACTTCCATAACGACTTAAACAGGATGAGTAGCAGCCATAATTAGCCCCGCAAAGAACGCAAATTTTTTTTATTGTTTTGTGTACACAGATTTCAATTTCATCAGTTACTAGATTTAACCTCCTAGTATTGTGATATCACCTTAGCAATAAAGCTTTTGTATTATTACTACAAACAAATTGAACGGAAGGCAGCTTCTAAGTGCATTGATGATAATCACTAGTTGTGAAGTGAAAAAAATCAATTATTGAAATTTTAGCACTTTTTTACAAAAGTTTCGATTACTTTTTTCTGTACATTATGCGTGCATGGAGACGACATACAATGGAAAATTTGTCTACACATATACAGATATTAATTAAATGGACTTATTATTTATATGTTTTGCACGAGAAAGATTGTTGCACAGAGTTGAAAATAAATTTTTTTGTGATTTCGGCTCTTTTTGTTTACACACACTCAGCCTCCCTTAATGAGAACAGGCAGCCAAATAGAGTTGCCCATCTTTAAACTTTGAATATATTTAGGTGATGCAAAGAGATGCAAGTTATATGGGAGCAAAGAGCGAACACATACAGATGTATCACTCCAAGCTTTAATTCGCTTTGGAAGACACATTAGTAATTTACAAAATTCGAAAAGAGCAGAAACAAGTTTATTTTTAAAAGGACTGATGGCAAAAGCCAATTACATTGGCTATCGGTTGTAAGAGCTTGCACACTAACTTTCATTTAGCGACACTGAGAAATCATATGCAAACAGATAAAAACATTCCACCTTTCTTAAAAAGCAAACGTATTTAAATACAATTGGCTTTTTTCTTCTGCGGGTTTAAATCAACAACAGATGATTTACCAAGCTGAGTAAAAAAAGTTAAATGTGAACACGAAGTTCTTTGGTTGAACCTTAATAAAGTTGGTGGTTAGCCTGTGTGTATACATATGTTTGCGCGTTACCACGCTCCCACCTAAATATAATAAATTTGCGGGAATTGGTCTTTCCGAAGTTTCAATTATTTTCTTATTTTATTTTTATGACTTGTGATGTAATATGTTCTGCGATTTCGTTTATTCTACGACTTTGAGATGATATAGCACAAAGAATTTCGTAATGTGTGTACGTAGGTGTCTTACGAAAGCGATGACAAGCTTTAAGAGAGAAGAAATAGTGACGTAAGCCGTCAAAACTGCGCGAGTACAAATTTGAAAAACGCTACGATCATGAAGATCACATATTTGTTTTCGTTTCGTCATTTGACAAGTTTTATGATTGCCTAGTATTCTAATATAAATTTCAGCTTAAAAATCTTATGTTGATTTTCCCCGAATTTTCGTTCGTCGTCGTATATAGTTTTTGATCGTTTATTAATACTAGAAGATTAGATGGAAAAAATAAAGATTAGATGAAATTATGTATAGGTATATATTTGTATATGTATATATTTAAACACACACACATGCATATGCATATATGTATATATATACATATGTATATATGTATAAATATTTATCTATATGTATAAATATATAGGCGCCATGAACATATATTTTACCCACCACAACAAACAAGAGAGCTCAACTTTCATTCATCACACATTACTCATCATACTATTAATTAATCTTTCTTTTCTATGTCGCACACTATCGTTTACTTGCATTTATCAAAAACACATTCAATCATACAGATACATATTGTCGCTGCGATTCTTTTTACTCATTCCTTGATATTTATTTACCTGAATAAAAAAAGGAAAGAAATTCATATTAATGCTAATATTATCATATGATCTGACTTATTAAATGGGCAACACAACAAAAACGTTGTGCTTTTGTTTTTGAACGACTTGCCAATTCTACAACCGATTTCGATTTTAAGCAAAATCATACATCTAATACGATTATTTATATATACAAAAAGGCTTAGTATACCAACATATTATTTTTCACCGATTTTTGTCGAAAAATATAAAAATCTTCAAAAAAAAATATATAAATATCTTTTTCGTGTACCAATTTTCTCAAAGGAAAGCATAGGGAGTTGTCGTAAACATGGCCCGATCCAATTAATTTTCAAAGTTCCATCTATAGCCAAAATGCGTTGATGTACCAAATTTCTTCAAAAATATTTCGGAATTTACAGGGTCTAGGCTTTTCCATAACCCGCGAAAGTATCGTATTACGCATCTATCCATTCTCTTTAAGAGAAGAAAATCTATATTACCGATTTTTCTGGTTCAATTATGCTACCATTCATTAACATTAATTTAGCATAGTTTTCAAAAAACAAGTTGAATGAATTCAACGGTTTACCGCAGGAGTCTTATGTTTAAAAATAAGTTCCGTAAGGCATTTAAACAAAAAATAAGCAAATGGGCAGCAATCAGTCAGTAATTGATTTTATTACTGATAGTCATGTTAGGATCGATATAGTACAATTTAGTAAAAGACCGTTACTACAAAGGGTTGCAACTTTCCTTCGTTCAACTCACATAAATATTTTAAATACCACTATTATTTTACAAAGACTGAGAAAGCTTAAGTCTCTTAGGCTAACAACAGACACACAATAAAATTTTGTCTTGCTTGCTTCGTTTAGCTACCTAAAAATAGGGACATATAAAAGGTTTTGCTTTCTTGACTCAAAAGGCAGTTGTGAGGAGCAAGAAATCAACTTTACTTTTAACACTAATTTTCGGCATCCGTCAATCTGACGAATTTGTGATTTCAAGCTCAAAAACCCTGCATAAGTATGTAGATATCTTCAGATGTTATTTACTAGTTTTTAATGATTTAATGCAGCAAATATATTTGTCAACTCTTTCTTTTGGGACTCGACCATATTGCTATTTCTACATGTGGTATACCTATTTTTACTGAAGCCCGTCAATTTGACGGTTAAAGTTCGTGAATCGTGAAGATCAATAAAATAAAAAGAGGCGGCTGCAATTTAGCACACACATTCTTAATCGATTGAGGAAATGAGGTTAAAAATGGACGTGATCTGCTCTCACAAACGCCCGTAATGTAGACGAAACTAAAACAGCCTAGAAAAACAACGAAAAATTTTTCACATTTTTAACTATAACTTTCGATCCCAGAAATATATCTGTGAAAAACTAGTAAATAAATATTTGCCAGAATCACCTGCACATTCGGCGCAAAAATAGTCCCTACGGGTTTACTTGTACGTTCACAATTGATGACTCAATGGGTGAGTTAGGATATATATACAATTTTACGCACATTGAGTTCTATTTGACGGTACCTACTATCATTTGATTTTACTAGAAATAAGCTCGATAAATTTGGCATAAAGTTTTATTTAGCACCTAGCTCTGCAAGCAAATATCTAATAAATTACCGACCACATTTAGGGAAAGACGGGCACCGACTATTAAACGTATTTTTGAACAAATACGTTGTGCTCAGGTTTGCTGGTCCATATTTATACTGTGGCCGAAATATAACTACAATTAAGAACTTCTGCGCGTGTATTTCTACTTCTTTCTAAAAAAAGTTGCTTACCAAAACAACTACTCTCATGAGAACTTTAATGATTAGAAAGATTGATATGATCCCATATTCTATCAATTCATATTCTATAATACATAAAAGATGTTTTTGGTTAGTTCTAAGCACAATAATGTGAAGACAGAGGGAAATATCAAACGTACTTCTGAAACCGTTGCATTTTGCAACAAAACTAAGTGAAGTGTTGATATTCTCGGACAAGTGGTTAAAAAATATACCGAGATAGCACGATCTCGTTGATGGCCCCTTCAGGTACTGACTGCCATTAGTGCTTAGATATTAAACAAGGAGACAGCTGGAGTAGTCGTGCCTCGGAAGGATTTTCTCTTTACGTAACGTGTTCAGTCTGTTATCTGACGCATCAAGCCCGAATGCTCCAAAAACTTGTCAAGTTTTGCTACGTAAGAAAAATGAAGCTTAGTATGCTTGCATTTAAATTAAAAAGTTTGTACGCGGAACTTGTACATCCAATGTAGATACTATACGTAAAAGATGTATAGAAAAAGACCGTCATTAAAATGGCATAAGATGTAATCATATTATTTAGATAGAAATGTCTTTTTAAAGTATTGGTCAAAAAGACGAATTTCTGTGAAAAAGATATATGTAGTCAATGACCGTAAGTCTAGTAATATTAAATAGTTACAGATTATATCGTAAAGACCTTAAATGGTTTGAAAGTGCTAACTCACCTATTATCGTCAATTGTGAATGTATTACTGAATCGCTCGGAACCGAACAAGCAGGTGCTTCTGGAAAATTTATAGGTACAAGTTGTTCAAAACTATACTTGCGGGATCGAAATTTATAGACGCAAAGGTCTTTGTCTATGTCACTGCAGTTTTTTCTTGATTGCGGGCATGCACGTGAATACGTCACGCCCACTTTTTCGACCACACTTTTCGAATCGATCAAGGGATACGTATGCCACATTTCAGCTTCCTATACTTACTTTTGCAGCTGTGACGATTCGGAAAATTGTTAGACAAATTGACGTGGTGTTTCTACTCATCGCTTTCAATATCTTTGTGTGCCAAAAAAGACTTCATTTGTTGACACATTTGCAGATCCTGATCCATCTTTCAGCCAAGCAAAACTATTAGAAACGAGTGAACATCGTCTTAAAATACGCCATCGAATATATACAATAGCCCGACAAGGTCTACAAATACTACTAAAAATTAAGGTTTCTTTTTTTATTGATTCAAAGTCAAAAAATATATTTCTTAAGACCCAAAACTCATATTCAATAAAATAGTACGTCCAACCCGTGTTACAAGCATGTCAAATACTTCAAATTGGGTAGTATATAAATTAACTCAAGCTAAGTGAACAAAACCAAGCTGAGCAAACAAAATTTGATGCACTAAGAAATGCAAGATCAGCGTCTGCGATGAATTATCAAGAACAATATCACGCCACCGCAAAAATCAAAGAAACACAAGGTAATTTGTAAAGCAGCATAAGTTTTTAGTTTTGTTTATGTAACTCAAGTGCGGTCGCATTGACCGATAAAATAAAACATTTTTTTTTTTTTAGATCTCGGTAAAGGTACATCTTAAGTTATATATGAAGTACATATGCTTTTAATTAACGCCAATAGCCACATTTATTTAACAATGTTTTCCTACATATCTATCAAAATTCCAGTTATGACTTGCAGCTGCGCAACGAAATATTGTCTTCTTCTCTAATTTCTGCGCTCCATTGCTTTGAAGTTAACTCAAAAAATCAGCGTATTCTTTCAATGGACCCACCTACAATTACGAAGAAGTTGAAATTCTTTAGGTTTTCTCCTTTTTTTTATCGATTCATATACACCTCGAATATCGTTTAAAATGCTATATGTATGCTAAACCTACCGACATTTCATGTAAACCTAATCCTACCATGAGCGGTCAAATGACCGCTTCAAAAAAACATATGTATCTTTGTAAAGTGGATAGTAAACAAAATATTTTTCTGATGCTACAATAAAAACTCGTTCCCCTCTCTTCAATGTTGTATGTTTTATTTACTTTTATGCATTTTCATTACATTTTTTACAAATTACAGCATTTTGTATTGCACATTTTCTACATATTTATATGTTTTTTACATTTTATACAAATTATGTTTGTTTTATTGACTTTACAATATCTTATTTGACAAGATCTCCGTTCAGAAGAAACAGTATTTGTATTTATTATTGTTTTTGATAAGAATTCTTTGCTTATCTATGTCTCTTTCTGATATTCGGTCCCAACTTCTTCTGCCAATTGAAATGAAAACTCTTGCCTCGATATTTCTTCACCCGTCGTTTCTTTATATAAAATCCATGCATTTATCCCGGCTAAATATAATATATTGAAAAATACCTGTAAAGGCCATTTTTGACATTTAGATTTTACACTATATTTTCTGTCCATTTGATTGGTTACATCTACACCAAATTTTGTGCTATTGTAAAATCTAACTGTCTCTGGTATACGAGTATCATTTTTTTAAATTTCAACGGATGAGTTCATTAAATTAAGTATCAATATTTTTTTATTGGGTTTAGCTTCATATATTGTAAGAATAAAATCTTTCGATTTGTATAATATTGTTGAGAAGCGTGTCATACTATCCTTTGCCTGTCTCGCTAATTTTGGTAGCTCTCTTTTATTTCTCCAGATAGTTCCAACAAGCGTAATTCTTTTTGCTAGAAGTTTACTCGCTAGTGACGCGCTTGTGAAAAAATTGTCAACTTTTTTATTTCTCCCATGGCCCGTATATGGTTCTGCTAATTTCAAAATTACAAACTCTCCAAGTGCGATTGATGATTCTCTCACTTCATCTTTTCCCAAATATGGAAAGCCGTTTACTATATATTTACTAGTTACATCGGAAGCTAACCAGAATTTTATGCCAAATTTGTCCGGTTTGTTGGACATGTATTGAGTAAATCTACAACGTCCTTTTGTAGGAAACAATTGTTCATCTATAGCAAGATATGCTCCTGGTTTATAACAGTTTTGACTGTTTTCGATAAATTTATACCAAACTTTAGAAATCAATGCGAACTTATCGTTTGGTAAGCGTTGGTTCGTTGATTTTTGTTGTCAAATCGAATAAACCTCCTGATTTCTGCGAAGTCATTTCGACCCATAGTTGTCGAGAAAAATGACGGACCCCATTTCGTGTTCCATAAATATGATAAATTAATATTTTTAGCCTCACATGCGCCGCGTGCATATAGAGGTCCAATAAATGCATATAATTTTGCAATAGATAAATTCCATTTCGTTTTCAACACTCGTTTATAGTCGTAAATAACATAAATTTTTCCGTTCGTGGTAGACTAGACATGGTATAATTTGTTTTCGGAAAATAAACAATAAAAAAAGTTGTAAATATTGAAAAATAGGTTGTATGTGTATTTTAAGAAAAGTCAATAAGCTACATGATGATACAGCAACGTTGTATGCGAGAAATTTTAAACGAAATTTTAAAAACGGTCATTTGACCGCGCATGGTAGGTTTAGTGTTAAATTGTGCATTATAGTAATAAATTACTAAGAATTAAACAAATGTATATTAATACAATTAAAGAAGCTGTTTGATAAATCGGTGAACTATTTGAAACTATAATATGAATAAAATTATAAATTTTGTTAAGAGCATTTTCTTCGTAGTTACACTTAAGTGCAGTCATCAGAAATGCCTAAATATAATTGTTAGATGTCTCTGTAATTATTTCTTTGTTTTTTTTCTTTTAAATCTGAATTATTATTAGATTTCCCTCCGATTAGACTTATATTATATATTATAGTATCTTTAAAACACACTTTATTAAATGATAAACATCCACAGTTTTATACGCATTAAACATTAAGTATATATAGACGGAATTCTCAGTTGTTGAAAATGGTTAAATAATAAGCTTTTCTAACCGCGCCATCTCTTGGCGGTTAGCGATAGCAACATATGAAAAATAAGTTCATACAACTATATAAGCGAGTCTTTCGAAGTCTTGTAGCGCATAGAAATTATATCGAGAAAGTCATAAAAATTTATATTTTTAATGCACGCAAATAGCGGAGTCAATTTCGCCGTGTTTATTACCTTCCTGTTCGTCCTTTATGTATAGTTGATAATAATAAATAATAGCATATGTATGCCATGTGGTTGCCGTATGTGTTCTGTGAAAAAAACACTACTTTTGTGTTCTTGTTGTAAAAGCAGTGTCGTGTGGACTGTGTTGCTGAGATAATAAGGTGAGTATTATGTTGCTGGAAAAGTAGCCTGCATGCATATTTTATGTCTCTTGCAATATCTAGGCATGTATCTGTTTGCAATTCTAGGCTAAATAATGAAGTTCTTTAGCCGGCCAGCAATTACCAAAAACTGTTAACTTTTTGATGGATTCTAATTTCAAGAATGTCCAATGGCTGAAAATCATTAAGATCAATGCAAGAACTTATACATAATTATCTAATATATACTACTACTATATATACGGTACTAAATATATATATCTGTGTACGTGTGGACATGTTTCTCACTTCTTGTTAACTTGCGTAAAAGTAGGTTTCAAATATCGTACGACATATTGTATTATAAAATAACTTCCTTAATATACATAGTATACATAGTATATATATATATATATATATATATATATATATATATATGTTACAAAAGTCAACCGAAGACGAATACATTTTCTTCTGTGGTTTGATGTAGTATGCATCTACTATTGGTAGCGCATGTCATATGCAACTTCTGATTATAAGAATTTTGAGAAACATTTACTGGAAATTAACAATACACTCTAAGGAGATAACTTAAATTATTTTTAAATCCTCCCAACTTGCTTCAAACAATGTATCTTTAAAGAGAATTTTTTCAAGCATAAAACGTTTGTTAGGGTTTTTCCTTGCAAGTATCTTTAGCACAGGTACGGAGTGAGATTCTCAAAAAAGAGTGTGAAAACAAGTAGGGGAGGAAAAATTTATTACAAATCCTCAAAAGAGCGTATGCGCACTAATCTACCAATAGCAAGCAGAATTTCTTGGTTATTGCGATGGTTAGTCATATATGGCGTATGCGACCAAATCAAAGAGAACCGGCACATAAAGAAAATTGAAATAAGGGAAGTGCTATTAAAGATTAGGCAACAGTTTTAAGAGTCGTACATTAGTCTGTCTGTTCAGTCGTAATTTAAAAAAATTTGTTGAGGCAATTAGTAACTGTAACATTTATTTCGGGAATTTGAGACCATAATCTTAAGACTTACCTCGAAAAGCGATGATTCGTTGAAGATGATTCTTGATTATTGCAATCCTGCTTGGCTGTTGTAACTATAGCGGGATGCGTGTTAAGCACATGGTGCGGCGAGGTGTGTACAGATGGGAGCAGACTTGGAGAGAATCGGAATGGAAAATCACTAACATCGAAGCAAAAAATTTAAAGAGTGTTAATATCAAGTAAGAGAAGAATGTAATTGTAAAGGTTTGAACCTTTTTCGGACTTTCCGGACGATTAATAAAAGATATTTAAAGGTAGTTAGAAATTTATAGATAAATAAATTTTTAACCTTTAAATTAATATTCTAAAAACATGGAATTTTCGACAATATTCAGAACTTTTAGACGATTTTTTGGAAAACCTTTTTAAAATGTTAGTAATATTTTTATAATTTTCAGGTTGTTCCTACAATTATTTAGCAAATGAATAGCGTTTTCCAACTATTAGTAGTACATTACTTGAGAAAAGGTTTGTCTGCGCTGCTCGCATTGCCGACAAAAAGGTAAAAGTTTGAAGAAGTCAATAATTGCAAATATATTGCGAAATAATTGGATTTTTAACTTTCGATTACTTGTAGATGTGTTTTAGACGAAAATACATTTTTACGTATTTTTAAAGAAATAGCAACATTTTCATGACTTAAAAGGTTGGGAAAATTTTTGCAAAAAAATTTTTTTGATAAATTTATATTTACCTTGATAATGTGGTATTCATTGGTATTGATGAAGGATATGGTCCTCTGAAACTGGAAGCTGCTGAATATACAGACGGTGTATGCCTGTGGATAATTTACAAAAAAGACATTACATTTATAAAAAAACGAGAATCTACAAAAAACAGTTTAAAAAATTTTGCATTAATCCATTGTCCTATTTTTTTTCTATTATCATCAATATATCCTTGGTGTTATTTATCTTATGAAAAATTATAAACATGGACATAAGCACACAGATTTAAAATTAGTGATTGATGCAGTTAGGAAGCCCCGTAAGACCTATCTATTTTGAAGGTGACTTACGTACCGACAAATGGATGCAAGAAAATTAAGTATACCAGTGTAATTGATTGCAGAAAAATTTTAATGCTAACATTAAAGGTGAACACTTTTTCACCGCAGAGGTTAAAATTAAATATATAAACAAAAAAAGGTTGCATTGCAGACTTGTTTATATACGATAAATGACTATGAAATAAAGTCTCGGTCTATTCATTCGGTATACTTCATATTGTAAAGTACATTGTACATATTTCAAATTCTGCTTTTAGGTGAGTATGCGAATTCAATGCCATGTTTACATACTCTACAAGCGAAGTTTTTTGACAAAAATGAAAGCTGTAAATTAAGCTGAAAGCTGTAACTTTAAAACTCGGAGCCCATAATTTATGAAAGCGATTAAATTTTAGTCTTTTGCCAACTATTGGCTGATTATTTAGTTAAAATCCAAAAACTTGTAGGGAAAAGTTTGGGTCAAACTTTTCTTCTGATAACAGATGGCATATTGACACATGTACAGCGAACAGAGTGGCAACACTGTTCACTCTTATCAGCAATATATGCAGATTGTGAGGTCTCCGGTTTTTATTTCAGTGCGTAGAAAGTTTGTGATGTATCTAATCTGTATATAGACGTGCACTGTACAGGTGTTACTCTAAAGCAGCGAACCTGTTGGTGAAAATGACAAAGTAATGCGAAGTTTAAATGTACACGGCGGTTATATTCGGTTATCTTGATCCTTTGCTACGTAAAATATCAGTTATACATTTATTGTTGTTAGATTATTCGGTGCATAGAGACGTTGATCATTGAACGCTCAAAATTCAACTTTCGACATCCATTACTTCTGTTGTTTGATTTGAAGAAATCTACTACCAAGCCTCATCAAATACTTTTAGTTACTTATGGTGATGCTGCTCCATTATATCGTAACTGTCGCTTTTCGTTTCGAGGGTTTATAATTGGTGATTTTGATGTTAATGATAAAGAACGGCATGGAGGACCAAAAAAGTTCGAAGACAATGAATTACAAGACTTAATGGGCGAAAATCCAGTTCAAGCTCCTAAAAACTTTCGAACAGCTTAGCACTTGATAAATCAGCTGTTGCTAGACGTTTACATCTGTTGGCAAAGATCCAAAATTAAATAGAATGGTTACAATATGAATTGACTGAAGATGCCATTTCGAATCGTTTCAGTGTCGGGGTTTCATTGCTTTTCAGGCAAAAAATAGAAACGTTTTTTGTGGGGTATTGTGATTGACGATGAAAGGTGAATTTGCTACGACAATCCCAAGCGCAAAATGTCATGGGTTTGCTCAGAAGAGGTATTTACGTCGACATTGAAGCGGAATATTAATTTTCTGCGCATATTGTGGGATAAGCAAGGTGTAGCATATTACGAGCTACTAAAACCGAATGAAGCTGATACTGCAGATATCTACCTACGTCAATTGAATAAATTAAACAGTGTATTGTTGCAAAAACGGCCAGAATAGCGGAGCGCAAAGTCATCGTCTTGCATGCCAAGGGTTATCAAGGATGCAGCGTTGCGGCTTCAATAGGAAATTGTGGCGCACACACCTTATTCCACAGATATTCCAAATAAGGCTTGTTCAGATCGATGCAGCATGGCTTAGCTGGTGTGCGACTTCGAAAGAGGAGATGTGAAAAAGGGTCGATGATTGAATCGCTGCAAAACCAAGATCGTTCTTTCGATGCGGTATTACCATGTTGCCAGGAAGATGAGAGGAAGTTTTAGAAAATGATGAAAAATATTTTGATTAATATATATTTTCTCAAAATATGCCGAAAAAATGATCAAAATACACGCGAACATCTAATACATATAAGGTTTTTGTTGTTCTATAAATGATTTAATAATATTGGAATGTAACGGTTTTTATTTTTTGTCGTTAGCTGACACGTCGAACTTCGTTTTAAAAAAAGTAAAAAGAAAATAAATAAATATTCAATGTTAAGTTTGAAAATTAACTTGTTGTGCTACTATTGAGTGACAAAAGTACTATAATAGAAAAATGCTGTGAAGAGGACGATCAAATATTGGTTCACGAATAATGTTTCGATGATAACGAAACATGCGATGAAATAAATCTAAAAGGCAACGGCAACATACAAATGAATCAAGAAAGTTGAGACTCAGAATCGCGTTAAAATCGAAATGAAGAAGAAAGTACACAAGAAAATAAATCAGTGACATGAAGAGTCGCAAGGTTGCGTGTTTTTTAAAATGGTAATCATCGTCTAAAAAGATTGTTAAGAGAGCTAGATTATCTCGAACAAGTACCGCCGATGAAAACAGAAGTTTAATTCCAAAGCGTCAGCGAAATAGAATGAAAAAGTTCCATTCAAGAACCATATCAATTTTCAATCGAATGACGTTGCAATACAACAGTGAAACTGATGGCAAATTATATAATTGTGATAATGCCGGTGAAAGGAAAATAAAAAAGATTGTGTTATGCAGGTGGCAAAGCAACGTATGGAGGGAGTAATTTTGAACAGCCTATTTAAAGGAGAAAATGTTTTGCTGCTACGCAATTCCAATACTCATGGTTCTAATAGATATGCCGCTTGAATTTAAAAAGTTGCTATCCCCAATTTAATTTGTATTTTCAATGACAATAAATATAACCCAATCTTGAAATGTTTTTCGTATGGACAGTTATATGTAGCCTGTTCATATTGTGTGTATATGCGCCAAATGTAAAAACGAAAAATATTCTATACCAAAACTCATTCATTTATAGCATTATTTCGATTATTTTTGTCCTTCCTTTTAATTTGTCGGATATGAAGTTCAGCGGATCAGCTAGTGTTGTACAAAGGAAATTAATAATCGAAGTTTCTAGGAAAAGTTTCTAATGAACCTTTACTAAGGTTATGAAAAGTACATTTAATTATACGTACTGAGTTTTGTGAGCATATGGTGGAATACGTGTTAGCTACTTACCATGACGCCACTTGAGACATTTCCGGGCTAATCATAGGGTATGGGTACTGCGTTGAGGGGAACGTATATAAACCTGAAATGATATATAAACATACATGTGATGACAAGAGCACGAAAAATACTGGTTTTTGTACGCAAAGATAAATTTTTAACGGCTTCTAGTTCTAAGAACTTACGTCACTCACTTTACAAGAGAATTAAGACTGTTGTCTATTCTTATAAACGTAACCGAAGGGCGATTCAAGATATTTTTTACAGAAATATAAAACGTGATAAACGTGAACTCGTTTCGATCCAAGCAAGCCTACGATATTAATTACTTCTATTTTAAGCTATAGTTTACTTTCTTCTAAAGATTTTGGGAAGGAGAAATCTTTCAGTTTCTAATAAATGAAAAATGTATGTGCAGAAATCAAACAGTGTAATTGTTTCATCTTAACGTAATCTTTTGAACGTTATCGCGTCTGACTGCCGTTACTGGCTGAGCAAGAGCTGGCATTCGGAAGTTGAATTTCGGGCCAAATGTGGGTCATAGTAAACTCAAGTTTCGTCGACAGTTAGCAGTGCCTAATATATCGTCCCGTTCGGTGCTATTTCGGAGATACCAATTTTAGGTTTGACGTAGGCATTTAGTAATAAGTTGCTGTACGAACGTGCAAATAACTTTCGATCGACTCCGAACAGTTGAAATTTACTATACAGTTGATTTTTACAAGGTTTAGAAGCGAAAAACAACCTCCTATTCTTTCTGACTTCGACTGAATTTATGGTGTGTGTTACATTCTCCGTCATAAAATAGCACAAGTAGACCAAAAATTTGTGGGGAGAACTTATTTTCTTGAAAAAATATCATTAGGTAATATGTTATATGTTCAGATGAAAGACTTGATGTAGTATTTTTAGTCTCTGTTTTATGTGTCCATGTACATATTTGCTTTCTTTTTCAGTCTCGATTATATCTTGCTACCAATATATAATGATATATCAGATTTGCCGTACTAACTTTAAACCACAGTCTTGATTAACGTAAAGATTTTAGTCGATTTAGGCAATTCCACCAATTTACTTTTTGCAAGGATATGAGGTGAACATATTAACGTTTCGAAATTGCAATATTATGACGGATCACAATTGCTTCTGTTACTGTTCAGGTATTGTTCACATCTGGGTAGGTTAATCAGCTTACGACTGGTGCATTAATTTTTTTTCTATTTTCGTATCTCTTTAAAGTAATGATCAATGTCCTCTGTTTACGTGCATTTGTATTAAATAGATGTAACAAATATCATACCGCTATGCACATAAACGCGTTGTTTCACGGAAATTTGGAAGGCTGCTCGTATATTAAAGCCATATGAAATATTTCAATTTGAATTTACTTTGCATCACAGATTTCATCAAATCCCTGCGTGTTTTCTTAATTGAAATAGCAAAGTTAGCTGAATTGACGGAATATTCGATTCTTGGGAAAATTAATTCTATTTTTTATATATTTCATGGATTATTAATCTTAAAGTGAACGAATCCCAACAAGTCTTCAAAATTCAACAAATTCAAAATTCTTTTCATTTGGTTGTTAATTTTTGTACTTTTTAATGCTTTTTTAAAGTATTTTTTGCAGGAGTGTCTATTAAGGGTTGAAGAGGAAAGTGAACACGGACGTATTTTTTTGGTTGTGTGTATGTAAAATTATGCAATTACAGATTAAACTCACAGCGGATATGTGTGTAGTAAAAAATCTTCAGTGTATGTACTTAATTAAAACGAGCGAGCAAAAAATTAGAAAATAAATCCGACTTATAAGAGAATGATTACAAAAGCCGAAACCGAAAATCCAAAGCAATTTAACTTGAGTCAAAAGCAAATCAACCCGGCACAAAAAATCGAACAATCGAAGCGTAAAACTACTACAACGAATGTTTTTTATATTTATTCAGATGCACATGTGTGCATCCGACAACTGCTTTCAGTTAGATGAGCACTGACGTGATGTACTGAAAGCACGTTGTACATGTATGGAAATATTTAAGGAAAAAAGGCTTTATATATTTGTTTAGGTAAATGCACGAACCTTGGAATCCTCAGCCAAACCGTCGTGTAGTTTCTGCATAACTGATACAAGACATCACGTTGAGAAAAAAATTAAGAATTTAGGTATATGTTGACGAAAGGACTAGGCGCTCAGCAAGGACGTTCGAAAAGCTAATATTTATATATGAGCGTTGCTTAATGAAATATCGTTTGAATACGGCTTTTTATTTTGAATTTTAGTAGAAGTTATTATAAGAAAAAAAGAGACAGGTAAGAAGAGACGAAAACGACAGCAAATGTAAGAAGAAGAAAGAAGCTATTTGTGTATTAATATCCCTATCTTTTATTTGCAAAATATATTAGATGTTTGCAAAAATGTTGATCACTTTTCCACTTGAAAAAAATATTTACTGTGGAAAATTGGTACAATATATATTAATCAAAATGATTTCTATAGTCTTCTACAACATTTTACAATATTTTTGGCAGCGTGGCGATATTATGTCAAAAGAACTTATATTGGTCTGGCAGCGATTCATCCACCGATCCATTCTCGCGCTTCTTCAACTTTGTGATACCAGGTGCCAGCTAAGCTATTGCACAGGTACAAAAGGTAATCAAGATGCGCTATGTCTGGTGAATACCCCGGGTGTAGCAAAACTTCCCATTCGAACTCCAATAGCGTATCCTGAACAATTTTTGCAACAAGTGGCAAAAAAATGGCATTTTCAGTCAGTTGGTGTCGCCACTTTTAAACCATTGGAACCAAAACCAACTATTAGGATGTGATGGAGCAGCATCACCATTGGCGTCTGAACGTGTTTGGTGGGCTTCAGCAACAGATTTCTTCAAATAAACAACAAAAGTAATGAATTTGGAAGAAGAAGATTTTTGAGCACTCTATGATTAGCATCGGCGTATGCTGAATAAATCAATAATATTAAATGGAAAACTTTTATTTTATGTGAAGGAAGGTCAAAACCAACGAATTCAACCGTTATGTAAAGTGGTATTACCCGTTTATTTCTAATTTTTATCTGTAGAAGTCGCTGATCAACATTTTTGCAAACATCCAATATTTTCATATATAAAATCTCATTTTTTGTGCAGGTTGGTTGTATTTCCAGACTTCCATCTTACTTATATACGGCTTTTGTTCCGCTTTACGTGATTTTCAAACCTAATATGAGAAGATAGCTAAGTGTAAACTTACAACTTAATTAATATAGGAAAATGGTGAAAATGCAGATTTTTTTTTGGCAATTATTGTTGAATTTAGCTGATTATCCCACACAGTTTCATTTGTTTTTTTTTGGTCAAAGTTGTTAATGGTTACTTCAACAGAGCGGTGACTGACAGACTGACAAACTTCTCGCGTCAGTTCTATCATTGCAAGCTTTTAAGAAATGTGATATTCGTATAAAGATGTTTTATGTTCACCATATAAAAACCATTAAATATAAAAGACTATAGCGTGTGAAGCAAGGTTCATATAAAATGTTGATATATAACTTTTTATTGATGTGCTAAATGTCTGACTTAGAACATTTTTTACACTTACTGGTGAGAATTAACTAAGAGCAAATGGGCGAAGTTTTGTGGGCTAAGACAATTTGTTTTACAATTTATTCAAACAATAAGATCACCTAGACGCATTATAAATTCACGAAAACGAGCACGAACGAACAAGTTGTAAGAAACAACAATGAGTCGTCACAAGCCACAAGGCGTTCTCTTATTTGTGATTTTCGCGATTTAACAAACCTTTTTATAGCAAAATTGATCTTGAAGAACTTTATTGTGGCTCCTTTTTAGGAATACCAAAAATTATAACAACAAAACACATTGTTTTCTTTTATAACTAGTGTTTAATCACAACACCAGTAATTACTGAAATATGTAACAAAGTGTATATAAATAAGATATTTGATACATGAGTGCTTTAACTTTGACTTTGTCTGTTTACATTTTTTATAGTGTTTGCTAAAATTTATAACATAAGAGAGAAATCCGGCTTTATGAAGTCATATCATCGAATATCTTTCTCAAAATTTGAATGCTTTTATTACGGTTTTTTGTTGAACCTTCATGTCTTCAACATTATTATTAAAAAGATCTTACAATAAAATAAAATAATCTTACGACAGCAAGTACAAAATTAAAATAACGCTGCATTTTTGGATGTACCTTTGGAATGAGAGAGGGGTGAAAACTATATTCAAACATATTCAATCAATTCAAACTTGTTATTAATAACGTGTTGGATAATAATGTACAAGACAATATTGAAACTATATTACACACGTGTGTTTCTTCATTGAGCGGGCATCAAAGAAGGACAAAGTTGGATTAAAGTATTTGCCATACAGGCAAACCCCATTATTAGCTTTTAAATGCTAGCTAAGGTTGGCAATACATAAAAAGCTAGAATGGGAACACACATTTACCCGTATGCAAACAAACACGAGAGTCGTTTGAGACACAAACGAACAAATAGTGATTTGCAAAAGCAACGCAATCATTGTAATATAACGCAATTGTGATGTAGCGTAACATTCCCTTTTGTGATTTAACGGTTTTATCCGAGCTTTTTTAAGATTAAGTTCGTTCCATAGACTTGGGATTTTTGGGTTAATGTAGGTTTTGTTTACCATTGTTGAGAGATCTATTTAAAAATTATATATGAAAACTTATATTTACAATGCACCTTCTGGTATTACCGGCTTTAACATTATGATTCAACTCACTTGACTCGATTGATATTGTCTTGCGCAAATACTCTGCTTATGCTTTTGCAAGAAAGTTATCAATTTCAAATTTCATTGTAATCTTTTCATGCTAAACTTTTTTACGTGTGAAATGTACTGCGTACCATTTTTAACCTTTCCGAGAGTCATCAGCTGTCTCGGCTGATGAAGCTTCCAGACTGGCTTTACTGTACAATAATTCTCTGTCATTAGAATTGGGTAATGGGTTGTAAAATGACAGCGCGTAAAATCAAAGTATCTACTTACCTCTTTATAGAAAAGCAATAAACTATTT